TGAATTTGTTACACAACAACAGAAAATCAATGCAGAGGTATTTTTGTCTTCCTTATCCTACTGATACCGGATTCCTTTACTCAGCACTTCCTTTCCTATCACTCAGTATTCTCAAAAATCCACTTACAGATTGATCCTGTGACCATACATCATGAACCTTCTTTTATTCAACCAGCTCCAGTCACCATTAATAACTATTCAACAGATGTTGAAGCTCTCTTGATAATGCCTGATGAATATAACCACCATTTACATTTTAATCAGAGCACTATAATATTTGGAGAACTGGTAAGACTCAGTAGACCCACAGAACATAAATTTTCACATGAATTTGCTCTTCTACAATCTGGTAAAGCCTCAAACATGAATCACTTACCAAGCAAGATATATGACACAGAAAGCAAAGAACCATCATTTCCCTGTATTTATGTTGTTCTGGAATAAATTCATCTTTATAAGAAGCAGGAGATGGCAAGCTTGACATTTTCACATGTCCTCTTTCCTGGGTCCGAGTTTTAGAACTGGGAAGACATCTCCAGTGAAAGAAGCAGAGAGTAATTTTTAAGTCTAGTCAATGCAGGAATGTAAATGGGAGTCGGTGGCACTATGATGTGACCGTTTTCATCAGGGGTAAAACCAGTCACCAAGAGCTATTATGCAAGTATGGCTTAATCATAAGTAAGTCGAAAGGGAGCTGAGTCAATCTTGGGCAGAACCAAGTTTTCTATTATCCTCTCACCATCCGCTGCTTAAGTGGCTTTCTCCACGCAGGCTTACATCCTAATACCTAATACCTTCCTGGTTACCCTTTAAGATCCAAGACTGACCGTGCATGGTAACACATACCTGAAATCCCAGCAACTTATGAGGCTGAGACAGGAGGATTGACACATTTAAGGCCAGTTTCAGCAACTTAGTGAGGAGGCCCTAGAAACTTAGTGAGACCCCGTTTCATAACTAAAAAATTAAAAAGGACTAAGGATGTAGCTCAGGTGTAAGGAGTTCCAGGGTGTCTCCTAGAACAAAAAATTCCAAGCAGGTAAGGATCAACACCATTCGTAGATCTGAGTGGCATCTGTGGGCAGAATCAGAGGAAGCAAAGAGGCTTGGTGGATGTGAGAGTGGAAAACCCCAAATAACCCAACGGCACTCACAGGAAAGCGAGGAGGCCAATCGGAGAGCAGCAGCTGAAACTAGGACGAGTTACTCCTCCCAAGAGAGTGTAGGTGCAAGGCGCCCCCCAAAGGTCTGAAGAGTCCCATCCCACTGAGCTCTCAAGACCAGTCCCAGAGCTCCCTGCCAGGAAATGGTGGGAGTCAAACCAAACAGCAGGATGCGGATCACAGAAACACAGGAGAGAAAAGATCCTGATGAGAGTAGGTGAAAGGAAAGAGCCAGGCAGCGTCAGAAGGCAGCTGCCCCAGTTCTCACCAGAGGAAAGCCCATGGCCTTAGAGGCCCTTCTTCACTCGGCCTTCTGAAAGTCTCAGGGAACTATTTTTCACATAAAAATTAAAAACAAAGAAGTCAAAACCTATACAGTGTAATAAGAAAACTAAAAAGAGAGCAGAATAACATCCCTACTAACCATGAAATTATGCCACCCCGTGGAATAAAGGAAAAGCCTCTCAAACAATGGGCTACTTTCTTTTTTTTTTGCAGTGCTGGGGATGGAACCTAGGGCCTCAGGCAGGCCAGGCAAGTGCTCTCCCACTGAGTCACATCCCCAGCCCTCACCTGCTATTTTAAAGTGAACTATGACTTTAAAGAAAGAACAGAATTTGGAATTTGAAAAATTCAGAACTTAGGTACCAGAACCCAGAAAATAATCAGAAATAAGATAAAAATACATGTCAAAAGTGAGAACTAAACTAGAAGAAACCAAAGAGGAACAGAAAACAGAACGCCTCAAGAGAAAGAAGAAATGGAATGCAGGGCAAAAATTAAATTCAAAAAAGGAAGAGATATAAAGGATTTGACATCATGCCATATGTTAAAGACGAACACGATCTAACATATGAATAATAGGAGACCCTAAAAATCAAAGAAAGAGAATAAAACTAAAAATATTAATGTGTGAGCTTTTCCCAGGGCCTCACACATGCTAGGCAAGCATTCTACCACTGAGCTACAGGCCAGCCCAGCAATATAATTTTTTAAAAACTTCCCTGAAATAGAAAAAGATGACTAAAAAATATAATCAGGGGGCTGGGGTTGGACCTCGGTGGTGGAGCGCTTGCCTAGCATGTATTGAGGTACTGGGTTCAATTCTCAACACCACATATAAATAGAGTTCTAACAACAACTAAAAAAAATTTTTTTAAAAATATAATCAGAAGAATACATAGCAAACCTGAAAATATCAAGCCAGAATTATTGATGCACTCAAAGAAAGGAAGAAAGAAATGTAGGAAGGGAGGGATCCTTTGGATAGCCACAGTAAGCAAGTAACTTAAAAGGCAAAGAAAGTTAGATTCTCATCATGCTTTGACAGCAGCACTCTCTGCCAGAAGAAAATAAACCAACATATTCATAGAAAGAAAAGATGGGCCAAGCATTTAGCCTTTAGCAGTGTCTTTCTTTTTCTCTTACATGGTGCTAGGATGAACCCAGGGCCCCCTGTATAATGGGGAAGCACTCTGCCCTGAAATACACCCCAGCCCAAAGTACACCCCAGCCCAAAGTACCTTTCAAGTATGAAGAGAAACAGATACATTCTTATTAACATGCAAGAATTCTGGGGAAATTATCCCCACAGGTCCACTTGGAAGAATCTATTAGAAAATAAGCTTCAGGCAAAATAAATTCATTAATCTATTAAAAATGGAGAAAACACTGCCATTATAAGAATCTTGGTGAACATTAAACGTGGTTACTTGTAGAAGACTGAACGAGAACTAAAAGGGAAAGAATACAAAATGTGTTGGCCATATGGTCAGATAGCGTGGCTACAGTTCAACTGTAAAGGAACTGAGAATGAGGAGAATGACGACAAAAAATTTGAACTCATCTCAGTAACTACAGTGGTTATGGTGGTATTGACATTATTACCCTGAGACTATACTGAACGTGGATACAGCAAATGAGTGATTATGAGAAATATCATAATTCTACTATCCCTTGTAACCTTAAGAGCCAGGACTTTTAGTGTGAAAGAAAAGAGATTAAGATAAAATACAGAAATTGAGTCAGGCATAGTGGCACACGCCTATAATCCCAGCAACTCCCGAGGCTGAGACAGGAAGATTACAAGTTCAAGGCCAGTCTCAGCAACTTAGTAAGAACCTGTCTCAAAATAAAAAAATAAAAAGGGCTAGGGATATGGTTCAGTGGTAAAATGCCCCTGGGTTCAATCCCTAGTACAAAAAAAGAAAGAAATTGAATAAAGATACCCATTGGAAATATTAGCATGAATTCCTAAGGCATTTTATCTCAAATTTTATGTATACCTTAAATTCTGCAGGTACATATGTACATAAATTAATAAATAATTTTCTGGCTCATCTATTAAAGAGGTCCAAATATAATGAAGAACCTACAAGAAATAAGTATTCTTAGTACCCAGACAATGGGTCTTGAAATATCATTTCCTGCTGAGAAGAGTTATGGTTACTTGGAGAATAATTAATTCTAGGTTCGGGGCAAGAAATGTAGTCTAGGAGCCTGAAATAACTAGTTTATGCTATACAACTCAGGAACCAGCTTAAAGAGACTCTTACTAGCTAAAGATAATATAGTTTGAGCCATTTTACAAAGAAAATAATTATAATGGATTAAAATTGAAATATATCATAATAATAAATGGGCACATTCATAGGATCACAGGGAATCGATCCCTTATCTTGTTAAACAGGAAGATTCATGTTTTTATTTTGTTTTTCTTCTAGGAACTAGACTATGTTTCAACAAATAAAAGACAGGAAATTTCTGTATAAAAGTATTCCCATTAAAAACAGAGAAATGGTAGAGCTTAAGTATCATGATTCTGCAAGTCCTAATGAAGTAATAAACCTAGGCATTAAGTAGCAACAGCTGCTGACATCACATAACGATAACAACCAGGCATTATGTGCCTGCTGGTGAAAAACATACTTTCTACAGTTTTGCCAGAGGAATTGGACATGAATCTGATTATGCTTCAGGATTCAGCTGTCAATTATCAGGAAATACAGAGGAACATGTTGAACTGCACCAAGAGTGTACAGCCAGCAACATCTGGACTGTAGGAAAGTCTACAGGTATAACAGCCAGGCTTAACAAATAAATGAAAATGCAAATAAAGAATGGAGGAAAAACCCATAGAGGAAAAGATTTAAAGGAAACATCTATTTTTTTTTTTAAATGGGCAAGATTAGAATAGGGATGCCAATTTACAGGTCTAGGGATGCTAACTTGAGTGAAATTGTAAAGAAGCAAGAAACGTTATTCTGAATGTCATCCTGGTGGTTTCCTTTGTGGGAAGAAAAGTGTGGAGATTGAGATGGGACACAGGAGGCTCTTAGGGAAACAAGAAGATTCTGTTTCTTGATTTAGGCAGTAGTGCATGTTAAGTAATGTTAGTGTGCCCACCTTCAAACTCATATGGTGAAGTCTGATCCTTCAATATGATGGTGTTAGGAGGTGGGGCATTTGTTAGGTGAGGGTGGAGCCCCCATGACTGGGATTAATGGCCATCTGAAGAGGACACAGGAGAGACTGCCCCTCCACATGACCCAGTGAAGAATGTGAGTCTGCAAACCAGGAAGAGAAACCAAGAACCAAACTGGCAGGCACCCTGATTTCCTGGTCTCCAGAACTTGTTATTTAAGTCATTCCGTCTATGGTGGGAAATACATGCTTGTTATTTAAGTCATTCCGTCTATGGTGTCTGTTATTACAACCCAAACAGACAGAAAATTTGCTTATTAAGTCAAATTTGGTTTTGTGGAAATTTCTGTACGTTTTATTTTTAAACAAAAAAAGTTAACACACACAACAACCACCACGTTCCAGATCCCTTACCTGTGCCTTGGCCAATTTCTTTTCTAGAAGATCCCGTTCCCGCTCCGTTTGCTGCAGACGTTTATTAAGCTCCACTATATCTCCCTTGAGTGATGCCAGGGCTGCCAAATGGAGCTGTGGTGACAGAAAGAAAGAACGGGGTCAGTCTTTGCCGCAGAAACTCATTTCCTTCCCTTCATTCCCTGTAATTAGTGTAACCAAGTAAAAAAATGCATCATCCAAAAGTGGACACTTTTGAGAACAAATGTGTATTAATCTCATGGGACAATGGACATAAATCAGATGTCACAGGCAAGCTGGGTTATATGGCCAACCTAGAGGTGCCAGGGAAAAATCATGTATGGGCAGTAGGACCTAATTTTAGATGGTAAAATCAGACTAGAGAGCAAGCCTCTATATTCCAAGGACTTTTTTCTGATAGGATGATATTAAGAACTGGCATGAATATAAGGAAAAGGCAAAACCAAATCAACTTTACTTTTGGAAAGTGTGAAAGTTGAATTGGGCAAATCAATTTTTTTTTTTTTTTTTTTTTGCAATTCAGTCCCCCAAACTGCTCCAAATACAACAGCCAGGGGCTAATTAAGGAAAGAAAGTGAGAGCTCCCTTTTCTAGGAGTCTCCTCTTAAAAGAGTTGGTCCACTTATTTTCTTGCCAGTTTCTTCTTCCTCCTTGCCCGCTGGTCAGGCTGGATTAGCCAGATAGATGCTTCTTATGTGTTAGCCAAACCTCTCCAAAGAGCAGAGCCAGACTTCTGATCCATTATGCTATGAAAGACAAACTCAGAACCCATGCAGCTATCCTTCCCCAGACAACCCTCTCAGATTAACTGGAGCCAGGAAGAATGTTCTCGGACAGATTAGCAAAGGGCACCACGCACTCCCATCTCAACCTGATCAACTTCACATTCTGAAAACTGTGCTTCAGCTGCACACAGTCCTGCCCCACATGGGGCTTTGGTGACTTTCTGGCATAGGGACAGTACTGTTTATAAGACCCGTTCAGCACAGTGATCCCAGAGCAACACCTGAAAACCTCTGCCCTCTCAGTCAGGGCTTTCACCTGCCTTTGCTGCCTCATCCAGGGAACGCACAGAGTAATTCCCTCCTGAATGGCGTATTATTTTGGTAAGCAGTGGGATCAGAATGAATGCTCCCTCCCTCTTTAAAGGCTTCTGCCAAGAAAGACTGAAAGTAAGGAATGAGCAAATAAATGTGATCTTTAAAGATGGACACAGTGCAGTGGTACACAATCCAACTCAGAAGATTATTTTCATTTCAGGTCTAGAAAAATACTCTTTGTGCAACCTGCCCTTCCACTGGGTCACTTTGGTGGAGTGGGTGGGAGTGGGGGTCGGGTTTCATAGCTGCTGTTTTGTTAAATTCCAACAGCAGTGAATATGAATTCACTTAATTGCATCAGGGCTGCAAACCAACAGATCAATCGCTGATGTGAAATCAGGAATGCTTGAAATTAAAAAAAGGAAATGTCAGGCGATCCGGCAGTATTTGCCTTCTCATGCAGGGCTAGGGCCGCTCAGAAAAGGTCACTTTGGTTTTCAGACATAAGGTTTTGTGTGATGATTTCTTTACATAAACACCTCAGCGTTCTCATTGCACAATCTTTCCAAGACTGTTCTGCTTCAAGTCCCCCACCAAGAGGGACAGAAATTCACTCCTTTCCATAGCTGGGCTGTCCTCTCAGCCTCTGAACTGTCCTCTGAGGATTCTCCTTCAGCACTGGACACTGGGACACATTATGACTATATTAAGCGTGGGAGAATATTCCCTACCTCCCTTTGGTGAGAAGGATCAAATACCGAGAGCTAAATGTTCTGTAAGAAATTCAGGCCAGGGAATAAGGATCCCGACTTTGGGGCCCACTCATGCTTCCTGCCCCTCATCTCCTCTTACTTCTGGGGGAAAGGGCTGCGTGAAAGGGATGAGGGAGGACTGGGGCAAGCTGATGCAGAAAGCTGTGGCTGCCCTTTGGATGGCTGGAGCTGGATCACCTGGGGAGGCACACAGAATAGTCATTTCCATCACAGCTACAGCAGAGGGGTCCACAGTGGGACACTGCCATGAAGGTGTCTCCACACTTCTCTGATGGAGCATGCCTTCCCATAAAAATAGACCAGTTATTCTTAACCTTCTTCAGATTACAGATTCCTTAAGAATCTCAAGCCAGGCACAATGGCACACACCTGTAATGCCAGCAGCTTGGGAGGCTAGATTCTGCAACTTAGGGAGACCCTGTCTCAAAATAATAAAAAAGAGCTGGAGGCTCAACCGTCAGTACCAGGAGGAGGCAAGAAAACATCATCATAAATGCAAAGGACCCTTCTCATAAAGAAGAGTATGAATTTCGGTTACATACATGTTTTTTTGCCCAATTATGTTGATGACACACCCTGAAGCTATCTCCAAATTAAGAAACATCTGAGCTAAACATCAGTTTTGTAACCCCAAAGTTCTGTATTATTTCATATGTCATGGTCCCAGACACCAGCATGAGGACAAGGCCCTTGGTACTCAGTGTCCCCTGTTTCCACAAGTGCAGGTAAGAGTCTAGAACTCACAGACTAGCTCACTCATACATCTGCTGGGATTACAGGTATACAACATGGTGCCTGGCTTGAGATTCTTAAGGAATCTATAATTGAAGAAGGCTAAGAAAACTGGTCTTTTATGGGAAGCCATGTTCCATCAAAGAAGTTAGGACACTTGCCTAGAGTGCCCAGAGATGGTGTCTTCTTGGTGACCTGGTCAGCCAGATGGCATTCTCAGCTCCTGGCCCAGTGCTCTCCCCCATGACAGCATCCCACTGTGAACCCCTCTGCCCACGGAGAGCTTACCCCCACAAAAGACCACGGCACCCTCTGATCACTATACAGTGTCATATGTGAAAGTAATTTTCAGTTTTAGTTTAGCTAGGACAAAATGAGTTCCTTATTGTTAACTGACAGATACTCAGCAGAGGCCGCAACTACGGAGCAGAGGCACAGTGGGGGAGGAGCTGCCAACCAGCCATCAGCACCCTTGCTGCCAGCTGCTCCCTCAGCTGCTGAGGACCCAGCAGGAGACTGAGTGCTGGGCATGGATCCCTGTGGATTGGAGTTCAGCAGCTTTCCTTATCACTAACTCACTACACAAAAGCCTGTCTGACCTCCCTTATTTGGGGTTTGAATCCCCCTTATTCTGGCAGAGCTGGTGGTGTCTCCACATCTTCAAAAGCTGGAGAGTTTGTGAGTTACCTTACAAGGAACTGAGAGAAGTAGAAAGGACTTTTGGGGCGGTTTCTTAAAGCATTGATGAGGTGGATGCAGTGGTGTGTGCCTAAGCTACTAGGGAGGCCAAGGCAGGAGGATCGCCTGAGCCCAGGGGTTCCAGACCAGCCTAGGCAACATAGTGAGACTCTAACTCTTAAAGAAGAATAACTGAAAGTGGGTTTAATCCTGGAAAGATAAATTTACCAAAACAACCAATTGTTCAATGGCTGCAAATAGGACCACACATTTATGCCCGTTTGGGGATGACTTTTGGATTCTGAAATGGCCTCTAATTTGAGACACAGCTTCAGCCATAAGAACCATAATATATGATTAAAAGACTTTTCAGGAATCAAAGAGACAGAAAATGTGTAATGTTTGGGTCTGTGCTAGTGTCCTCAAAACCAGACTTCTCTTCATTCTCAAAAGTAAGATCCTGACTTTAAGCTGGTTATATTGCTGCTCAGCTATAATATCCCAGTTCCCAGCCTTCCATGCAATTGGAGCTGGTTATAGACAGGTGACTAAGTTCTGGCCAGTTGAATGTAGAAATGGTGTGAGAAGTATGGGAAAATCTTTGAGAGTGATCATACCCTTTCTCTTGTCCTCCATCCTTGTTGTTTGGTACCTCATATGATGGATGGAGCTCTGGCAGCCATAGGGCATGATGAAGATCAGATCCATACTCTAGGGAGCCAAAAGAGGCTCCTAACAACTCTGTTTCTACCTGCAACCTGCCGAATGCCTAATCCCAGACCTTATCACAGAATAACAAGAATCAAACTTTGTTGGATAAAACACACTACCCTGAGACATGTGGCAAATGAAGGTGATCTAATTCGAATTAACACAGAATCAGATAAACCTCAGTTCAAGTCCCATTTATGCTACTTGCTGGTGGACCATCTTTACTCACTTTGTGATAGGGCCGCTGTGTAGACAAAGTGAGACAGTATGGATTAACTGTGACTAGCACTAACAGAAGCCCCCTACAGACATACATTTCCTCCTTTCCATCCAAGTTTCAAGTCAACAGCAATTGAGCACTTTCTCAGACTAAGCCCTTTGCAGATGGTGACGCTCAGATAAGTCTAAGAGTCCCGACCTGGGGAAGCTACTACCTGCAAGGTATCAGCACAGAATGGAGAGGCCAGAACCTGTGCTGCTGGCTTCTGCTAAAGTTCTAAGGCTTATCTCAAGGAGCTGATGGCCAGGGCTCTTAATTCTCTGTGAAATGTTAGCAAGGGGCCTAAGGAGGTTGAGATGGAACCTTGACACTTCCTATACAAATGTGGGTCTAGTGCATGAAGGATATAAATACGTACATTCCTCACATTTCTGGAGATAAAAGTACCTAACTCCCTAGGCTGTTTTGAGCCCTGTTTCACACTCTTTTTACAGTGTGTATCCAAATGAAACTAAACCACCTGGACACTTGGTTGCAAGCTAGCTGTCAAAATGGTTGTTATTTTTGGAGGAAACATTCCTCAAGTAAAATTGCAATGTTCACTGGCTCTAAGGACAGGCCCATGTAGCCTCCGTCAGGTGAAGTGTCAAGCCTCTAGGCCCAAATGAGAAGTGAGCAGTGCCCTCGTGACAGCCTCTCTTGGTGGTTTCTCCTGGGCTACGTGGACAGATGTCTATCCAGTTACACATCAGCTATGAGATAAAGGGCTTTGCATTTCATAAGAAGCCCCCAGAACCTGTCAGTGAGAGAGGGTGACAAGAGCCCCTCCAGGAACATCATATGTATTGGGGGTTATAAGGTGCTCCTCCAGTTTGCTATGACTGGCAATAAAAGTGGCGGAGGCAAGCCCGCACAGTCCACTTCCATGGGGCTCCCTCA